TGTTTAAGAGATCTACAGTGTGTGTGTGTGTGTGTGTGTGTCCTCAGTGAACTGTATCAGTCTCTGCAGTATCTTCCAGCTGCAGCAGTCACTTCAGTTTCTGTTCAGTCTGACTGAGGGAGGTTTTTGTACGACTGTTTTTCACTGTGTGCTCACCCACAGACTGTTAGGATAGTGCCAACACATACAGTAATAAACTGCTGCATCTTCAGCCTGGACTCCACTGATGGTCAGAGTGAAGTCAGAGTTTGATCCACTGCCTGTAAAACGAGCTGGAATCCCTGATACTCGAGTGGTAGCAACATAAATGAGCAGTTTAGGAACTCCTCCATCTTTCTGTTGGTACCAGGCCAAATGGTTGTTGCCATAAACATCCTGACTGGTCGTACACTTGATGCTCACAGATCCTCCCACAGCAGAGCTCACTGCTCCAGGCTGAGTCACTGTGATCTGTCCTCTGGACTCTGAGGACACAGAGACAAAAACATAAAGCAGCTTCATGGTTTTGTGGGCTTCATTTCAGAGGGACAGATGTTGATAGAGGAGAGGAGTTTGATTCTCTGGACTTTACCTGTGAAGCAGCAGCAGAGGAGAGTCCAGATGAGGACGCAGATCAAAGTCATGTTTTTGATGAGGAGGATTTCTGTGGCTTCTGTTGTGATGAAGGACAGCTGTCAGTCATCCAGTGTTCAACTCTCAGGACTATAAACTCTCCCAGAGCACTGGAGCATGGTGCTGCTGATGCAAAGTGCCTCTATGGAAATCATCTGACTGACAGAAACATGCAAGTTAGAATAGAATAGAAAGCCTTTTTTTGTCACTATAAAGTTGTACAAAGAGATACAGAGAAAATGAGACAAAGACACAAATTTGCAGGGGGAGAAGTGCCAGAAACACATTATATTAGATTAATATTTCAAACATGACAAAATGCTAATCTTACAGCAGCTGCTGTGTGTGTTGCATCATATTGCTGTAATTGTTTATATGCTTTATATATTCTGAGCTAAGTTGATCTATAGTGTTACATCGTATTCTATAAGGATGTTATGTGTTTGTAGACTTTCTGCCCAGTTTGACCCATTTAGCAGACGTCAGCCTGTTTAAGGCTCTGATATCTATTCTGTGTGACTTAAAGCAGTTATGACATGGTCTGATTTTCTCACCCAATAAAGGAATATTTCATATATCAGTCTACTCTTCATTTTATCAGACACAGTTTTCACAGCTCGTACATTTTCCTTTTCACACATGTATGTAAGCATTGAGCCAAATGTAATAATGCCAACATATTAAACGAACAATATTTGTCTCTTATGTATAATACATCTGTATATACACTTTTGAGTGAAGATTTAAGGTGATAGGAAATATAAACTGCAACTTGAATCTTTCAAGTTCAAGCTCACTGCTGTAATATATGTATATATACACACACACACACACACATACATATATATATATATATATTTCCAGTCCTCAGATACTCAACTAATCAAAGTGATGTCATGACAAAAATGAATGACCAACAAGACATTTTTTCTCCTTCATTTCTGTCACACAAAGCTGTATGAAATGTTTCTCGCGGTTAGCATCATGGTTGCTAGGCAACCTGAACAGCGCGACGCAGGCTAGACCGTCCCATTTCACAAGCCTCTCACTTCCGCACAATCTTGTACTCATAGTACGCACCGTACGCAGTACACGTAGTGCGCGTACTTCAAGCTTGCAGACCCTGAATTGGGACACAGCCACGGACTTTACACAGAGACCTGACTGAACTGGAACAGAGGGAGCATGGGAACCAAACCTAGGAACTAGAAATCATAGCAAAAGACATAACCAGAATAACCTAAAGCATAAGATAATAATAATTAACACAAAACACTGGGTCACATGACCCAGGACCATGACACTTATAGCACTAGAATTAAATAATAAGGGAAGGATTCTGGATCAGCATCATGATGAAAACTTGTGGCCGTAGTATATACAGTATTCTGGAGAAGGTATAAAATGTCACCGTATGTGTGTGTGTGTGTTTTATGTGTATGGATTTTTTAAATTATTACTCATCATATATTACTGTCTATTAAAGTCCTGTAGTAATTTGTCCATCAGCCTTTGGAAGGTGGCCGGTGCCCCATGTAGGCCAAATGGCATCACCGTGAACTGGAACAGGCCGGCAGGTGTCCTGAAGGCGGTGTGCGGTCGAGAAGACTCCTCCAGTGGCACTTGCCAGTAACCTTTGCAAAGATCCAAGGTGGTGATGTACCTGGCCGCTCCGATCTTCTCCAGCAAATCCTCGGTTCGAGGCATGGGGTAGGCATCAAACTCTGAAATGGAATTAAGCTTCCGGAAATCAATGCAGATGCGTAGGGAGCCATCTTTGAAGATGATGACCACCGGGCTACACCACTCTGAGCAGGACGGCTCTATCACCCCAAGCTCCAGCATCTTCTCCACCTCCTGTCGCAGTTTATCCACTAGGTGTTGTGGAACCCGGTATGGACGTTGGCGGATGGGATGTCCATCCTTTAGGCGTATCACATGTTCGACAAGGGTGGTCCTGCCGGGGTTAACTGAACACAGAGATGAAGTCTCCCAAAGGACTTGGAATAGCTCAGCAGCCTGCTGTGGGGTAAGATGAGTCAGCACCGGAGACATCGTATCGGCTCCCTGCTCGGGTTCTGTCTTCCCTTCTCTTGGCATTTCTCTTGCCATCAGAGCTTTCGCAGGGGCCTGGTGGGCACGCTCTTCCCATTCTTTCAGGAGATTCACATGGTAAGTCTGCTTCGGTTTCCTCTTTTCAGGATGATGAATCTCATAGGTCACTGGCCCCATTCTGCGAAGAACTGTGTATGGCCCTTGCCATTTCGCCAGAAGTTTACTGTTGGCTGACGGGAGAAGTAACAACACCTTTTGACCAGGTTGAAATTCACGTTGCCGGGCCTGTTGGTCATACCAGGTCTTCTGGCTTCGTTGAGCGTCTCGCAGGTTGACCTCGGCCTCTTCATGGTATCTCCCCAACCGATCTCTCATTTCCAGCACAAATTGCACCACTCCTTTATCATTTGGAGCAGAAGCAGGAGACTCCCAACCCTTCCGGAGGAGATCCAATGGCCCCTGCACATCCCAACCATAGAGTAGCTCGAATGGTGAGAAACCAGTGGAAGCCTGGGGAACTTCTCTGTACACAAACAGCAGGAAGGGTAGCCACTGGTCCCAGTCTTTCCCAGTGTCTGACACAAACTTCTGCAGCATCCTCTTCAGAGTTTGGTTGAACCTCTCCACTAACCCATCTGTCTGTGTATGGTAGGGTGACGTCCTGATGGCAGAGATGCCTTGCTGGTTGTGGAAGAGCTGCATCAACCTAGAGGTAAAGTTAGTCCCTTGGTCGGTCAAAATCTCATCTGGTATCCCCACCCGGGAGAACAGCTGTACCAGTGCACGCAGAACATTGGGTGCCATGAGCGCACACAGGGGGAACGCTTCTGGGAAATGAGTCGCATAATCACACACCACCAAAATGTACTGATGACCCCGACTGCTTTTTACCAGAGGACCCACAATGTCCATAGCTATCCTACGGAAGGGGGTGGAGATGACCGGAAGTGGCTGTGGCAGGGCCCTGTCTGACTTGCGAGCTGGACAAGTTTTCTGGCAGGTAGGGCATGTACGGCAATATTTTTGTATGTCTGTGTACATTGATGGCCAAAAGAAACGTGAGCTAACTCACATATAGGTTTTTTGGCGACGCAGATGACCTGCCCAGGGGAGGGTATGTGCTAATTGCATAATGAGGGGTCTACAACTAGAAGGTATCACAAGCCGTTGGTGGTCACCGTCAACTGCATACAACACATTTTTGTCAACAATGAACTTCTCTTTCCCTCCCCATTTCCCAGTTCCCCCTTCAGTCACATTAGCAAAGAAAACTTTCAACGTTTCATCCTCCCTTTGCAACAAAGTGATATTTTCTGGTACATCCCATTTCATGCTCTTAGTGTCCGGCCCCTTTGACCATAGCTGCTTCTCAATGCGGCGTTGGCGGCGGGATTTTCTTGGCCCATTAGTGCCACCCTCGCACAGACTACTGTCAAAGTCTGGCAAGGGTTGGCATCCAGCCTTCATTTGGGCTCTAGTGACCACTGGGCCAGACACGTTTAATTTAGCATTCCCCTTATCCCCCACATCAGTCTCTGTCCACTGTTCTTCTTTTTCTTGCAGCAAGTCCATGAGTACAGGCAAGTCCATCCCCAGAATAACCTCTACAGGCAAGTTCTGTACCACCCCAACTGACAACAGGTATGGCTGTTCATTAATAGTCACTGTTACCTCCACTTTTGGGTATGGATGTTTATCGCCATGCACACATAAAACTTCTTCCTGTCTGCTATAGTCCACACTGTTCACTGGTACCAAACTATGCTTAATTAAAGACATAAAACTACCAGTGTCCAGCAAAGCAGTAGCCTGCAGACCATTGACCTTTACTTTTTTATAGCGTTGCACATCCACTGGCTGGACCCTTGTGGGCTCCATCTCCAGCCGGGGTGCATAGCAGGCACCAGTGACTTTAGCCTTCCGGATAGGGCATACCGAGGCTTTATGACCTGGCTGCTGGCAATAATAACAAAGAAAGTCCTTACCCGCTCCTCGTAAGTTTGATGCCTTGGGGTTTTCTGGTGGCTCTGGGTTGCTCTCCCTTTTCAGAAGACCCGATGATGGGAGTGGTGGTCGCTGTGGCATCCCAGATGAGCGTGCAGGTGGTGCTCCTTTACGCACATTGAAGTACTGTGACACCAGCTTAGCAGCGGTCAGTCCATCTGCTGGCTCATGCTCCCTCACCCAGGTCCTGACCTCCCCTGGAAGTACCTGGATTAACTGCTCCAAGATGATAGCTTCTCCCATCTCTTCTTTAGTATGCTGCTCTGGTCGGATCCAGCGCCGATAGAGGCCCTTCAGGCGATAATAGGTCTCAGTGGGGATCTCACCAGGTGGAACTGTATTGGACCGGAACCTCTGCCGATACGTCTCAGGGGAAATGTCAAATTTGGTTAGCAACGCCGCTTTTAAATCTTCATAACGATGGGCTCTTTCTTCATCCATTGCAGTGTAGGCCTCCAACGCCTTCCCCAATAGCAGTGGAACCAGACGACAGGCCCATTCACTCTCTGGCCATCTACAGGTTTTGGCAACTCGCTCAAAACGCAACAAATAGTTCTCAATGTCTTCCCCCATCTGATAGGGTGGAATTTTTGGCCCAACAGATCGCATCCACTCTGAGACTGACTGGTCGAGGCTGTTGGTAACTGCTTGTGACTGACGAGAGGGAACCTCCTCTGGGGGATCCCGGTATCCTCTTTGACGTGCAGGTGTAGGCAGTACCATTCTGGGGCTGCTTGCTGTTGCGGTGCTTGGCGTGGCCATTGCTGCTGTGGTGCTTGCTCCGGCTGGTGCTTGGGCTGGACTTTGCTGACCAGCAAAATCTGAATGCAGCTGAGCTTTGGGAGGGGAAACAGTCCTCAGCCCCCTGAGTTCTGCCAAAAAAACCTCCTCTCTCCTTTGCTGTCCCGCCAGGAAGTCCCTCATCATCGCAATCAGCTCTCCATTTGGGTCACGTGCTGAGGTCGAAGCTGTAGGCAATTCTGGACCAATCCTGCCGGAAACCTCCTCCTCCTCCTCTGCTGAAGAAGACGACGCCGGCACTGTGTCCCATGCCAGCTCCTCTGCTGTCTTCTCCACTGGAAGCTCATGCTGCTGGGACCGCAGCCCTGTGCGCTTAACTGGGAGGCGCGTTTTCCTCTTCCGACTAGCAATCCCACTTCTGACACCATATGTCGCGGGGTCCTCTCCTAAACTTCTCCCGAACAAATGCAGGCGTAGTCAGGAAGCATTCAGTGTGGATAATTTATTCTGCCGGCCTCCCAGGTGCACAAAAGATTATTTACAAAGAAAATAGGAAACTAACTTAAGTCAACACAAAACAAACATCTATATACAAAACACAGTCTGCATGTTACCCTCTCTGTAACATCTCACTGAAAGAACCCAGGTAGGCCCTGACAGCCTTCTTTTATACCCCATGACCCCTCCCACTAGGCATAATAGTCATCTCTTTATTATTTCTTTTACCAAACAATCTTTCCCCCTCAGCTTATTTCCAGCTGTATTCCTACAATACATATATGTATATACAGACATTTATGGCCAATTCCAGGCAGCCTACAGTGTTTCACAACAACAAAAAAACAAACAAAAAAAATAATGCAGTTCGCGTGACCTTTCAAGCGCGCGCAAACCCACTATTTGAACCCGAGAACACCATACCATCGGCTTGCATAACCCCCATTCAATCGGCGATCACAGCGAGTCTCCGCGACCGGCTTTATTAAAGGTAAGTGGGAAAATATGTTGGCCACCTTCTGCGCTGCTCAAAATATACCTCTCACCCCTTTTTGTTTATCTGCCCGGTCGACGAAAAGACGCGCAGTAATTGTAGAAACTAATGGTGGTGGTGCGTGTATGCGCCCAGATCAGCTGTCTGCGGCCCGGGACGGTGTAACTCCGTCACAACAGGGAACAATAACGCCTGTACCAGTTGTTGTATAGCAGAGGTGCTCAAGTATAAAAACAATAATAAACACAATGCTTTGGTTCTATAACATTTTTCTATCATTACTTTATTTTGGATTAGGTGCATGAGCTTTTAAGTATGGATAATTAAATAATAGATTAATGAAACACCAGAGTGTGCCCTGTTCTGAGATGTACAGCAAGTGGAGAGTGACAGATGAGATGAGGAGATGGAAGAGTGACTCACAGGCAGAGCCGAGTTCATTTCCCACAGTTTTGTGGTTTAATGCTTCTGAGCGCTGTCACCAATCTTTGCATTTTATTATCATCTCATAACACTTCTTTAATCAGCTACCATCTCTGCTGTGGACTTTTTACTGTCTACAGTCTCAAAGCAACACAGACCTCCATCACTATCTGCAGCAGGAGCAGCAGCAACCCCTCAACAGCAACAGTGTTGTTGTTATTCAGCCTGGTTCCATGTGCCCCTTTTGAACTTTGAGCACCCGTCCCTTCCAGCATCTCTGCACGGCCCTGCTCAGAATCATCATCTGTTTTAGGTTGACATTTTATATGTTTTGTAGAATAACAGGACAAACTGTGAGACTGGAAAGACTTGAGCTTCATGCTCTGTTTTGTGACGTAGTGTGTAATGCTCAGCAGTATTATCATTTTAACTGGTTCTGTGCGCGATCTGAAGACACTAAGTGTTTGTGAGAGAACATAAAACTGTTTTGATGCATTTGTCAGGTTTTACCTGATGAGTTTTAAGTTTTGTGATTGTAGCTTGAAAATTAATTTTAATGTTTAGAGTTATGATAAAGAAGGTGGAAGCATTAAAGTGATGTATCTTAACAGTTGTAAAATGTAAATGACAAATTGGATTATTGGAATATAGTTTTATTGTGTTTCGTTGTTTTTTATGTAAAAATTATAATATTAATATGTTATGAAATTATGATTTAAAGAATTCATATTGTTGAGTTTGTTTGTCTCAGAGTCAGAGAGCCGTGTCTCTCTACAGTCAGAGGTTTTTATACGGCGCCTCAATGAGTTTGTATCACTGTGGTACACGTTCGGTGGAGGAACCAGACTGCAAGTTGGAAGTAAGTCAGCCGTAGAGCTTTTTTTTTTTAAATGTAATTTTCTTTTCTTCAATTTCATTTAATATGAAAGGCTAGGAAACTTTTTATGTAACTGATTAATTATTTTATTCATAAATTTTGTCCTAAGAAACAAAGTCAGCTTTGGAAATGAATATTCAGACACTCAGGACAATTTCCAATGAAAATCTGGGATGTTTCATATTATTCATTATTATTTCTAGTTCTGATGGTAAAGTTGTATTTTGAGGGCTTGTAGGTTTAGTTCAGTCACACAGAGAGCCGTGTCTCTCTACAGTCAGAGGTTTTTGTACGGCGCCTCAATGAGTTTGTATCACTGTGGTGGACTTTTGGTGGAGGAACCAGACTGCAAGTTGGAAGTAAGTCAAACTTAAACCTCATTTACTTTAGCAAATTTCTTTCTTTTGATTATCTTAACTTTTCTGTTCAATGCGCCTAAAAAAACCTCAGGAAAATAGTTTTTAGATAAATCTTCATGAAGAAACAAAGTTAGCTTCAGAATAAATGTTAAAATGAATATTAAACACAATATAAAACATCAGAGTGGACTTGAGGATATTTTACATATACATACATCTGGTTAAGTCTCGAGAGCTTTTAGTTTTAATCCAGTCTGACAGAGTCAGAGAGCCGTGTCTCTCTACAGTCAGAGGTTTTTGTACGGCGCCTCAATGAGTTTGTATCACTGTGGTGGACTTTTGGTGGAGGAACCAGACTGCAAGTTGGAAGTAAGTCAGCCTTAGAGCTTTTTTTTTTTAAATGTAATTTTCTTTTCTTTTCTTTAATTTCATTTAATATGAAAGGTTAGGAAACTTTTTGTGTAACTGATTACATATTTTATTCATAAATTTTGTCCTAAGAAACAAAGTCAGCTTTGGAAATGATTATTCAGACACTCAGAACAATTTCCAATGAAAAAAGTTAAACTGCACAGAGTGAAGATAAAGATCTCTGGTGTTCTTATTGTATCATATCATTTAAAACAATGTAAGCAATAAAAAAAACACATGAGGTAAGTAGTGGTATTGAGTTTCTTATCCAGAACAAGCTGTTTATTACGAAGAACTGATGATGTGGAAGCTTAACATCTTTTAAAAGTGTTGACACATCTTTGTTTCGTTTTTTTGTTTTTTTATTTCCAGTGTAGTTTGAACATATTTCAGCTCAAACTGTGTGATGATTCTCTCTGTGCTGATATGCATGAGAGGTTTCTTAAAGGGAAGTGAAACAATGTGTGAGTGAATGACTGGTGGAGCAGAAAAAACACCTGACAGAAACTTCTTAACGGAGAAAATCAAATTGTGGTTCCTGTCCTCTAACCTGATTGGTGTTTCCTAGGTGATGCCCGCCCCGCCCTGAAGGTGCTGGGTCCCTCCAGTGAGGAGCTGAAACAGGGGAAGGCCACGCTCATGTGTGTGGCCAACAAGGGCTTCCCCTCAGACTGGAGTCTGTCCTGGAAGGTGGATGGCAGTGGCAGCATCAGCTGGGAGGAGAGCAGGAGCCCCGTGGTGCAGGAGAACGACGGCCTCTACAGCTGGAGCAGCACCCTGAGGCTCCCTGCAGACCACTGGATGAAGGTGGGCTCTGTGACCTGTGAGGCCACCCAGGGCTCCCACACTGTGGTCTCAGAGCCACTGATGAGAGACCAGTGTCCCCAGTCCTGACCTGACTAACTGTGACTTTCATGCTGGTCTTACTTTCAGTCTGCACTCTGTAGCTTTAAAAAAAAAAAAATCTAATTTCTTCTCTCATTTTTCATTGCTTTGTTTAAAGTTTAAAGTTTGTTTAAAGTTTTAAAGAATAAAAAAATATCTATATTAAATAAGAATTGAGTGTTTGTCTTACTTTTGTGGTGATGTCAATATTAAACTCTAAATAATGATTTCCAGGGTTCTAATTGGAAGCCAGTGTGCTATCTGTAGTCAATATGAGTCAGTAGAATTAAGTCACTTTCAATACATGAAGTAAAGCAAAGTTTATGTTAAAGAGTAAGTGCGAAGGGGAATTGAGAGACACTGCCATTACTAAGCAGGATATTAAAGACATTACATATATGCAAATTCATTGCATGCTGTGTAATGAAATGTTTCAGCATGTTGCAGTTTGTTGTATGAAACACTGAGCAGGTGGAGCAGAAAAGCGCTGTATAAGAATGAGTCTATTCTCGTGATCAGTGTTGGGGCAGGTATTTTAAGAAGTAATTTAATATACAGAGTTTTTTTGTTAAAAGTATTCAGTACGTTATTTTGGTGTTTTTTTTTCTGTAAAATCACCTGAAACACAACATGTCATAACTGTCATTGAACAATATGAACTTGTAGGCTACAGTCTCTCACACCAACATAAATCCCTATCCTAACGACGACACACATATTTTCTTTCTCTTGGCATTTAGGTATATGAATACCTGTCAAGGGTCCTTGACATACAGGTCTCCGACTCGGAGGACAAAAATTAATGTCCTGTGTCTTAGGAGGGCAGGATTGCTTTGCTTTTTCTTTATACGATGCTTCGCAGTATTAGTTTTGCCTAACAACCTGTTTTTGACTCCTAAATTGTCATTAATGCAACCGCTCTACATAACAGTCAGTGTAACTGATTAGAAATCTTTTATTCATGAACCTACACATTACGCTTTATTTACTAGGTGTATGTATTTTAACAGAGCAAGAGGTGGACCACACGTTTGAAGAGCTGCTGGTCTTTATAACTGGGGCTGACTTACTTCCACCACTGGGGTCCTGCAACATAGACTTTTATGATCAGGAGTCAGGGATACACATCGATGTGCAGCTTATCCCTGTATCTTCCGAGACGTGTTGCATACGAGGATCAATTTAAAGATCTTATGAACACTGCATTAAAAGGATTCCTGGGATTTGGAAAGCTGTAGCTGCATTTACATGAACTGATGCTGGAAAGCTGTGGTTAAAACCTGTGGCCTTTTGGGATGAAGTTGTGTTATTCTAAGTGTTCTGAAATGGGATTGCTCCTGGGCTTCTTCAAATTTGTACATTTTAAAAGTGTTTAGTATAAAAGTTTTTTGTTTTTACAAATGTGACTGTATATAGTTGTATTTATAGTCCCATTAAGACAGGTGGGGTATGCATGCAACAAGCCATGCACCTAAAGTGATGCTCAGAAAATGCTTCAAGTATTGGAAGGAAAATAACAATTCATCTACAAATGTTCTTTTGAAAGGTTGTTGTGCAGTCATGTTTAAGTATTCGGTTATAATATACTGCATAGTTTCTTGTTGCTGCGTTGTGTTTGTGTTGTTGTTTTAAATGTGCAATAGCTGCCTAACAAACTTTGAACTGAAAGACGCTGACTTTTGTAAAATAAAAGTATTGTAATGTCAGTTCTCATGGTGTCTCTTTACCAATTAAAGTTGAGGCTCACCTGTTACTGTCAAATACTGGTGTTGGGATCCACTGACGAGGGCTGTTCAGTACACAGGTATGTGCTTAAGTCGAGGTAAACAGTTCAATAAATTTACCTTCATCTGTTCTCAAACTGAGAGCTCAAGATTCCAGCTCAACTCAATTTGTTCAACTGCTTTCAGGAACAAAGCAGTTTTAACTCCTCAGTTTAAAGTCAGAGTTGGTTAACTCTGAGATTGGCAGCTGACCTTTGACTATAACCTGTTTAAATATTAATAACTCAATTTGAGGAATGTGAACATGTGTCAGTGCTATTATTAGAACACATACTAATATACACAGAGGGTAACGAGGGAATACACCACAGAAGGCAGACACAGCTGAACCTCATCAGACATGACGAATACACTCACACAGAACGCAGAATCCAAATAAAACAGGGAACCAGAGAATAGCTCTGAGACACGGGTTGGCAGAACATAAGGAACAGAGGGATGAAGAAATGCGACTGGAAAACAGAAAATAAATGAAACGAATCATATTAATAATCAAAAACATGAATAGGAAGTCAACAGGTCTTTGGACCATGGCAGTGTTGAAGAGCAAAAAAGAGAAAATCTAAAAACCTGAGAAAGAAAAGATGGAAATTTGATCATTTGACTGATTTGGACTTAAAGTTTCTATTTGAAGTATTTGCTAAATTGTGCAGATAATTATGACTCACTGACTTTTGCTGACTTCATTTAGTGTTAGATTTTTTTTCTTACAGAAATATGATTTTTGATAATGATCGATATTTAGAAATTGAGATTTATTTGAGCTGGTATGAAGCAGAGGTCAAAGGTCATAAATGATTTTTTGTGATAATGTTTTTTATCAACTGGGTTTCAAAAAATTGATATATTTCGAACTTTTTTTTCCTTTAGCAACAATGACATTTTCACTGTGTGTGTGTGTGTGTGTGTGTGTGTGTGTGTGTGTGTGTGTGTGTGTCCTCAGTGAACTGTATCAGTCTCTGCAGTATCTTCCAGCTGCAGCAGTCACTTCAGTTTCTGTTCAGTCTGACTGAGGGAGGTTTTTGTACGACTGTTTTTCACTGTGTGAACACAAGCTGGCTGTTAGGATAGTGACCACTCTGACAGTAATAAACTGCTGCATCTTCAGCCTGGACTCCACTGATGGTCAGAGTGAAGTCAGAGTTTGATCCACTGCCTGTAAAACGAGCTGGAATCCCTGAATATCGAGTGCTAATATGGTAAATGAGCAGTTTAGGAACTCCTCCATCTTTCTGTTGGTACCAGGATAACCAATTACTATTAACATTCTGACTGGTCGTACACTTGATGCTCACAGATCCTCCCACAGCAGAGCTCACTGCTCCAGGCTGAGTCACTGTATATTGTCCTCTGGACTCTGAGGACACAGAGACAAAAACATAAAGCAGCTTCATGGTTTTGTGGGCTTCATTTCAGAGGGACAGATGTTGATAGAGGAGAGGAGTTTGATTCTCTGGACTTTACCTGTGAAGCAGCAGCAGAGGAGAGTCCAGATGAGGACGCAGATCAAAGTCATGTTTTTGATGAGGAGGATTTCTGTGCC